AAAAAAGAGAAAGAAGATATGGCAGTTAAAAATGACTATAAATTTAGGTTATGGCCACCTGACTAGAATTACATGATTCTTTTTATATTTTTGTTTCTTTGGTGGTTTTCAGTGTGTCACTTACTAGAGATGCAACTTCTCAGGCCCCACTCTGGACCTACTGAATCAGAAACCCTGGTGGGAAAAAACAGCAGCAGTGCGTCATGGAGCCCACCAGGATACTCTGATTCACTCTAGATCAAGTTTGAGAGCTGCTGCCTCAGGACATGGTGCCGTTAGGGAAGAGCGGATGGTAGGGAAAGAACCCATCTGGCAGTGACAGGTAAGTACTGAGGAGAAATAGCACATCAAAAATTAGCCCGTGATATGTAGACACGGGAGAAGTGAAAACAAGAAGCCAAGCTCAGTAAGCCAGGTACCAGCTGGGTCTGAGGCAGCAATGACCTTGATGCAGGGCGCCAGTCCAGGGCCCACACTGGCTGCCTCGGACCACACGGCCTAGCTGTATCTCCTCTTCGGTGAAAGTGTCTGGCTCTGCCACTGCAGTATCTACTACTGCTCTTACTCTTTGAAAGACAAGCACTGTGATAGAGATTTATCCCCGCTCTTAACTGTTGTGGAGTGTTGACAGGGGGTGCTGCGTTGATGACGGACTGCTCAGCTTCAGAATGCTGTTTGTTCTACTTCCCATTACCATGCTCCCCCGGGCTGTATCTTGGGATATACTTTGCCAGGCATCAAACACCATGTTCTGCTGCTGGACTGGACCTGCCCCGATACTTCCCCCACCTGAGAGGAAAAGAGCAGTCATTCCTGGTCCATGTCACCCCATTTTGGTTAACCAGCCAATCTCAGGTTTGTCCCAGGTTTACCTTGTGAATATTAGCTCGTGTTTGGGCAGATTATAATGCTTCATTTTATTTTATTTTTTACAGCGTAAATTTCTTATATTTAGAACTTAGCTAGCTGGATTCAGTTTAGATGATCCCAATTTTGTTGGCAATGTCAAAAGCATCATGGTTGGGAATCAGATAAACACATGCCTTCTTGTCTCCATCAGGTCTGATCAGCTGTTGACCTTTGTCACGTCAATGTCACAGAGCTTCTTCACAGCCTGTTTGATCTGGTGCTTGTTGACCTCGACCTCTACAATGAACACAAGTGTACTGTTGTCTTCTATCTCCTTCATGGCTGACTTGGTGGTCAGGTGAACTTGACAATGGCAGAGTGGCCAAGCTTGTTTCTCCTGAGACACTCTTCAGAGGACACTGAGGCTGCCTTCAGAGCCGCAGTGTCTTGGGTCATTGGAAGTGGGTGACATACAAATCTTTTTGTGTGTGGGTGCCTATGGATGCCTTTCAGCACTGCTTTCTTTGCCTTCAAAGCCTTTGCTTTGACTTTGGGAGGGACAGGGGCTTCCTTCTCTGCTTTGGGCACCATCTTTGTGAAAAGGTTATAATGCCTCATTTTTAAAAAGCTTCATATATAAAATGTCACTAACAAACTTTTTTCTCTTCACTTATCCCGACTATTTATTTTATCTGGCATTCTCTAGAACAATAGAATTTCCCAAAACGTGTTTTTAAAAGATGGTGCATGTGAAAATGGTCTGTGGTTAAATAAATCTGGGAAATGCTAAGTTAATCACATTTAATCAAGTTTATTTTATGCATGACTTTTTTGGAGTCTCATCCATTAGAACTCATTGTGAATTTCCTTATGGGACAATTACAGAATGAATCCTTTTGTAAGCATCCCTGCCCACAGAATATATGAGTAAAGATTATGGCTCAAGGCACACATTTTAGAAAATGAATCTTTAAAGATTAATGGGTAAAGTCTTGTGAAAAAACATATTTATAAATTAAGCATGCAGTGATAGAGGGCTTTCTTAAAGTTGTGGGAATGGGAATATTATTTCTAAAGTTCACAGATACAAGCACACGATAGTTTAAAACAATAGTAAATCCTCCTTGGCATGAGTCTTAATGATCTAAATTTTCAAAATAACTTACCTTTGCAAAATTCACGAACATAAAACTGTCAGAGATGGAGCTGCTGCTGTGTACAACTCCAGAGTGGAACATAAATGTCACCTCCAGCGTCACACACTACTAGAGCCCAGAAAGCAAGAGCTCGGTGGCTGACCGGGGAGAGGGCCTTGGTCCTGGTGCCCTGGCAAGATGTGAGATTCCACTGGTTTTCAAGTGTTGAGCTTTGCTTGTTTGTACTTATGAAAAATATAGTCACAGCTTTAAAATTTCTGTCTTTGGTATGTAACATAGTTTACACTTTACCAAAGAACATTGTGAGATACATTTGCTGCTTGGAGAGTGTCAATTTAATCATGAATTTTACTTTTTTCCCCCTCTTTTTCCAGAAAACTTGAGATAAGAGTCAAGTATAAAAAGCTCTGAGTGCTGTCAATTCTTGAAAGTGGGGAATAGGCTGTAGGAACGCTGCAGTTTAAGTCTTAACAATACAGCACTAACTTCTCTCATAAATGTCAAATAATTCTGGCTCTTTTTACCAGACCATCGCTTGATTGCATCGCTAGTTTTCTTGAATTAAAGAGCAAGGTGACAATAGCCAAAATGGGAAAAGAAGGAGCCTTTAGGGTAGAAGACAAAGACCAGCCTATGTATGAAATTAAATGCAAGCATGCACTGAACTGTTCAGCCTCTTACCCTCAGTGGAGCTGGAAAGGCCCAGGGGGCATTAGCCACCCAGATGACTCATGTAAAGTTGAAAACGTGAAGAGCAGTGAAGTGAGTTCCAGTAGAGTATGGCTGCACAACAATGTGAATGCATTGAATACCACTGAACTGTACACTTCAAAAAAATGATTAGGACATTAAATTTTGTTATGTGTATTTTACCACAATAAAAACTTTAAAAAATATATATCTATAACATTGCAGAGGCAGGTAAGAAGCCTGATTGTGTAGGATGGAGTAGGAAAACAGTAAGGATTGTGCTCTGGGGTTATGGAGTTTGGACCTTTGAGCTCCAGAACTCTAAGAGAGTATGTGTCATTTTAAGCCACCAAGTTTGTAGTATTTGTTACAGAAGCCACAGGAAATTAACACAGCTGCTAAGGAAAAGATTGTCCCTGTCTGTGTCTATCTGCACTCCTACCCACCTGAGGAACAGTACTATGAAGTGATTGGTGCAATTCAATCCATAACAGAGTGGACTCATCATCATCCTCAATCCTGTATATCTAAGAACTCCTTCTCCGTGGTTCGTCAGATATGATCAGATTAAGGAGGAATAATATATACTAACTTAACTCACCAGAGAGATATAAACCACAACACCTGTTTATTGGTTTATTCATGGAAATATAAACACTAAATGCATCAGTTTACTCAGATTAGCAGCTAAACGCAGATTTGTCTTGCTTCGTAAATGTAAAAGTCAAAATGAAGGCCAAATTATCTTGAAGGCTGGAGCACTAATCTCCTGAATGGATTAGACCAGGGTCCCCAACCCCATCCTGTTAGGAACTGGGCTGAAAGAAAAGCTCACCTGAGCTCCTCCTCCAGTCCCTGGCAACCCCTATCACAAAACTGGTCCGTGGTGCCAAAGAGGTTGGGGAACACTGGATTAGAACATTTAGAACGGTCAGACAGGTCCCCCTTCTCCTGACTTTGCTGGGACATTCTGGCAAATTCCAACTTGTAGTCACTATTTTTCTAAGAGTCCTTGAAGGTCATCATAGTGCTGTTTGGGCAGCATTCCTTCAGATGTGCTATAGGGATCAAATACCCTCTTAGGTATCTCCTCAGAGACTTGGGCTGTCTTCTCACCAGGAACACAGTCACACACCACATCATTCATTCACTGATTCATTCAAGAAACATCTGGTATTTACTACGTGCTAGACATTGTACTAGGATCTGAGACACAAAGATAAAAGCCTTATTTTCCAGGAATCTTCTGAGTTTTTGGTGATTAAAAGCTGCTGTGTTATTTCTTCAGTAGATAGCTGATCTCACCCACTTCCTGTGATTTCATGAACTGCATGTTTGCAGGATATTATTTCCTGATCCTCATCAAATTTAGAAATGGTCCGATTGAGAAATGATAAGCTAGTCAAATCAATTCAGTGAAAAAGTCCATTACTCAAGACAATACTATTTTGACTAGTTTATCTAAGTATTAACATTTCCCTAATCTAGTGTGACAAAGGGCCTAGGATTTAAAACACTTCCTGATGTTAACATTCCTACAAAACAAAGTGTGTGTGTGTTGGGCGGGGGGGCACTGCCATTTGTCAGAGTTGTGTACTGGGTGGTCCCTTCCATCTCCTAGTTTTATTTAATAGTGACTCATGTTGTCATTAAGAGCAACTGAGTTCTAATTTTTTCAAGTCCAAAATTCAAAACTATTGAAAATATTATAAAGTCACAAGTATGCCATCAACTCTAGTATACGTACATAGGTCATCACACATCTAACCACTAAACTTCTGATGGTTGAGCTACAGGGTTTTTTCCTGCCTGGGTTTTCGTAGAAAGACCATGTTTGGTAAACATTCTTTCTTGGTTTGCTATTGCTGCACGTTCGTCTTGTGGTTTGACGTTAATATAAACTAAAACCAGTATAAACTAAGAGAAGCCAGTAGAGGACTGATAATCTGTGTGACCTGGAACAAGTCACTCACCTCTCCCGGACTGTTTCCTTGTTTGTAAATGGTAGTTCCATTTTATGTTTTTAGTTCCCCGGTTCTAAAATACAATGATTTATTTAGGAATCTCTGGAAAACATGATTACAAAAAGTTAATTTTAAAAATTTATCCAATCCATTTCATGGAAACTTTCAGAACTGGTTTAGACAAAATCACTCCGAGTAGTTTATCACGTAAACGTCATGACTACTTATCTGCCCCTGCTCTCACAAAGCTAGTTGGTTCACGGAAGGGAGAAGCACCATTAAATATAGCTACACACAAAACCCACAGCTACTTTTATAAAACAACTTTTTAATTTCCATTTTCTGTTTACAAAAAGACAAAGAGAACAGGGAGTGCATGAGCGGCAGGAATAACACCTGGTCAGCCCCAGAGTGTGGAGGAAGAGGCCACGGCCAACAAGGTTGGGTCAGGCCGCTCTTCCCTGCCATCACTGGTAACAGCAAAGGACCAAAGGAAGTCCAAGTGTGGGTCAACAGCTATGTTAACAAGATCAGTCTGTTAAGCAGAGTCAGATGATCTGTCAAGTCCATGTCCCTGAAGAGGAAAAAGGCCCAAGTCTGCCTAATGAGGCCTTGGCTCGGGGTGGGCTCGGGCCTGTCTCCTGTAAGACTTGGGCGGCTGTCTCCAGGGGGCATAGGGGCCATGAGGTACGTTCTGGGGAAAACCCCTATGAACCACAGGGGCCCACTGCTGATGATAGGGTGTGTGTTCAGGGACCCTTGGAGGCTGGTGATCAAACATAAATCCACCTTCGAAGTCAAATCCTGCCTGGGTAGATGAGGGGCCATCTGAATGGGAATGGTTAAAGAATTGATCTGACTGGAAAGACAGGTCTGAGGCATCTTGGGAACCCTGCAAGAAGTGAGGTCTTCTTGTTGTGTGACAGGGAATGGGAAGAGGCTGTGGGGGCAGGGGTGGGGGCAGGGGTACGTAGGGACCTGGGTAAGGGAGCAGAGAGTGCTGCCTGGGAGAAAATGATGGGGATGGTAGTAAGGCCTGTCGTTTCCTGCTGGTCTGGGACTGTCTCTCAACCTCCTGTTCAGGTCGACTCCTGATCAACTGGCCCACAGGTTGGCGGCAGGGCAGGTCCACACCCCAGGCATCAGCCATGTGGGCCAACAGCAGCTGGGAGAGGTGTCGGTGCGCCCATTGGTTCCAATGGACCCCGTCTCCCTGCCGGTGCACTTCTGCATGGCGAAAGTGGAAGTGCAAGTCCAACACATCAAAATTGTGCTTCTGTGCCTCGACAAAGCTGTAGAAGTTGGCTTCAATCACCTTTTTTTTCAGGCCCAAGGACAAGGATGACTGCTTCCTTGGGAGGAAGCCCCCGGTGATCTTCTCACCCACGGGCATGGCCGTGTTCCACACTAGGAGGCATGACTCAGGCAGCACCTCGACCAGGTGCCTGAACAGGTTCTCCAGGTTCTTCCGGTAGCTGCTAAAGGAGTCCTTCCCATACCTGGAGATGTCCCAGAGACAGGAGTTAATGATGACCACGTCTGGCGAGTGCTCACTAGACTGCAGCTCTTTCAAGATGCCCTGGACATAGCTGTTGTACACACGTGTGAGGAAGTAGAAGCGCACCAGATGGTGGCTGGTGCAGAACTCCCGGACTTCACGGTAGTTGGTGCCGTTGTGCATGGCAGCCTTCTGGCCTCCATTCACCAGCTTGTCCTGTTCGAAGCTCAGCTCCCCCTTGACCTTGAGCTGCTTGTAAGTAAGCAGGTCATCCTTTTGCAGCAGGAGCACCAGGTCCTTGTACACAGACCTCTGGACAGAGTCTCCCAGGATGACGACAAACTTGTTGTGGAGCAGCTGCTGCACTTCCAAGGACTGCAGGTGGGCCATGATGCCCAGGTCAAGTGGCCTAGCTCCTTCCTTTGCACGTGGGTGGGTCTGCAGATAGCTAGGACAGAAGGAAAGAGCAGCTGGGAGGAACGAACAGCCCGGGCAGGCAGGCCCTCTGTGTGGTTAAGACTCAGGACCAGGGATGAAGTTTTGGCCTGGGAAACCCTCAGGGCAGAACTCCACCACCTTAAGGCTGAGAGAGAGGACAGAGCAAGAAGGGAGCCTGGAGTCGGAAGCCCTGCTTGGCCTGGCCTTAACTTGGGCTGGGACTTGACCTCTGAACTGCCTGTGGCTGCTCTTGGAAACCCGGGTTCTACCTAGCCAGGAGGGGCCAACCCGGCCTGCCCTCCCCCACTGCTGGTACAAAGGGCCACTGGGAAGGCTGCCCAGACGTCTGACAACTGGAGAATGGTTAAGTTAGACAACTCTGAAGCTGCTTACCAATGAATGTGAGTAAGCAAAACCATGGAGAATGCCTGTGGTATGTTAAGAGGAGGAAGTTACAGACCACATGTGTGCCCCGTATTGCTGAAACTACATGAAATAGATATGCATAGATAACACTGAAGAAAACATGCAGAAGCAGAGTTTTTAATAGTAGAATGGATGAATCACTTTCCTCTTTTTTGGTAAATATATTTTATATAATCTTATATTACTTTTAATAACTTAAGAAGAATTCAAATGGAAAGCAACATAAAGTAAGAGTACCTGTACCAATAGGTCTTATACAAAAGAAATAACCTTGGGCCTGGTTGGTGTGGCTCAGTGGATTGAGTGCTGGCCTGCGAACCAAAGGGTTGCTGGATCGATTCCCAGTCAGGGCACCTGCCTGGGTTTCAGGCCAGGTCCCCAGTGTGGGGCGTGCAAGAGGCAACCACACATTAATGTTTCTCTCCTTCTCTTTCTTCTTCCCTTCTCCTCTCTAAAAATAAGTAAAATCTTTTAAAAAGAGAGAGAAATAACATTGGAGATAACTCACGTGTGTTTCTGCTATAATACTCTTTGCTTTCCATTTGAAAACCAGAACATGCTACCCTCAAGTATGCCCCTTTGGGATAAGGATGATTTTGAGCTGAAGGCAACTAAGAATCAGCAGACTCAGGGAGAGTTCTCTGCACTCCCCTCATCTGCCTAAAAGCAGTGTATAGATGCCCCTTTGGTTGGGGGAAAGGCCCCTCCCTCAACCAAAGAGGAGTCAAGGAGGAAGGCAGGGAGGGGTTAACACCAAGATGAGTTTTCCTGTAGAGACCTTACCAAAATAGCCAGGATTTTCCATCCATTTCCCCATACGGTTGCTAGTCACTTCCCCACAATTTCTCATCCCCTAAAGCCCAAACCCTTTTTCCTTTGTCAAAATGGTATATAAACTCCTGAATGTTTCTTTGAGTTTCATTTCTTTTCTATGAACTCTAGTGCACTTAAATATTAATAACAATTGTGTGCCTTTTCTCTGGCTAACCTGTCTCTTGTTAGTTTAAGCACAGGGCCCCAGAAACCGAACTTAAGAGGCAGAGGAGAAGTTTTTCCTCCCCAGCATATTGAATAAAATGTTGAGTTGTGAAACTCATCTTCACAACTTCAGATGAAGTTTATGTCAAGTTGCCATTTACAGCCATATGTACTGATGAATAAAAGGTAGAAACACACTTCAATGCTACTAACAAATCTCAGATGAGGAGGAAGATGGCATCCACCGCATGCACTTACATAGAAGCCATTACAATCCACTGTGGCTTTGCTTCTGTAGGCTTTTATGCATTAATACACATTTTAATAGGTGTGTGTGGAGAACTATTATTAAATGACATTCAGTTTTTAAAAGCTATACTATTTGTGGTTTTAAATGGGTACAAATACAAAAGTAAAACCACAAAAATGGATAGATTAGGAGTTGCCTTAAGACAACAGAAAATATTGGCTTAATTTTCTTCCGAAGAACTTCCATTAAAAAAAAAAAGTAGCACCCTGACTGGTGTGGCTTAGTTGGTTGGGCGTCGTCCTGTAAACCTAAAGAGCTTGGGTTTGATTCCCAGCCAGGGCACAAATCTTAAAAAACAAACAAAAACACCTTAGGATTTAGCTAACTGTGGTGCAATAAAATAAAACTTAATTAAAGAAAACCCCAAATCCCACTAACTTCTACTAAATGCACCACATCGAGGATATAAAATGAGTCAAACTTGGTCTTTTCCTTCACAGGCAGATTAGAAATATTCATTGATAACTGGAACACAAAGTGGAGATTGCTAACTGCCATGAAAACAGGTGTCTTTGTGAACAGTATCTGTACACCCCAGACCCGTCTCCAAAGTGCAAAGCGCTGGGGAAGCCCTCTTCTGGGTGTTTCCAGGGCTCTCGCGCCATCCAGCCCTGTGTGCCCTCTTTGGGCTGGCACCGTGGTCACAGGTTGGGCCTCGTCCTCCAGGGTATCAAACACCAACAACTGCTCCCGTTAGAGTTCTCTCCCCGAGGGTGGCCAACCTAATAACCTGCAGCTGTCTCTTTCTGTGCTATTTTTTTTAAAAATATTTCATTTATTTATTTTTAGAGAGAGGGGAAGCGAAGGTAAAAGGGAAGGAGAGAAACATCAATGTGTGAAACACTGATCAGTTGCCTCTTGCACAACCCAACTGGGGACCTGGCCCGCAACCCAGGCATGTGCCCTGACTGGGAATCGAACCAGCGACCCTTCGGTTGGCAGGATGATGCCCAATTTGCTGAGCACACCAGTGAGAGCTCCTTCAGGGCTATTTTGCTTAAATGGTCTAATGGATTCTTTCTCTGGATATGAAGAGCCTTAGATTTGGGCTCAGTAGATGAGTCCAAATGCAGTGGGAAAGGGAGGCACTTAGAATACTACTGGTGAAGATCACTGTTCCTGAAGCCACTCTGTAGGTTTCAACCCCAACTCTTCCATGTGCTAGCTCTTAGTCCTCGGGCAAGTCATTTAGCCTTTCTCTGACTTGAGTTCTTCATCTGTGCAACGGGACTTACAGTGCCCCCTTCATAAATTTGATGTGAGGATTAACCATAATATTTAGAACAATGCCCGACAAGCAGTAAGCATGGATGAGAGTTACTATTATTACTGAGCAGGTTTCGGAACACCAGGTTAACCATCTGTAAAAAGGAGATTACAGTATTTCTGCTGCCTGCCTAGCAGGATTCAGCGAAGATCAAATGAAATGATGGAAGTGAAAGATTTTGAATAAAACAAAATTACTGTTTATTGAATGGCTACTGGATGGTAGGTGTTTTACAAATGTTATTCTATATATAGACCAATCCTTATTATTCACCTTTTCTAGGGAAGAATATTGATTGATGGAGCTAAAACTTAAAACCCCTGACTCTCAAATCTGTCTCTGTAGAAACCTCCTTTTGACTAGAACCCCCTGCAGGCTAGTCTCAATCCTAACGCGTGGCTCAAGTCAGGGGGATGAGATAGGATGAGGGTCTTCCGGTGTGCCTCCATGTTCAGGCAGGCGACCACTACTCTGCCTGCTCAGGAGGGGCGGTCCATGTGTACTCGGGTGTGTGTGTGGGGGGGGGGGGTTAGTAAGGGTGGAAGTGGGTGTGTGTGTAAATAGGAGTATACTTTTTTCATCCCATTCCATAATCTCAGGTGAGAGACATGCAAAAATTAAAAAGTCAAACATCCATCTAAGAATGTATTGTTCTGCAGTGGAACATGTAGGTAGGACTGTAAAAAAGAAGAGGGAATAACTGAGAAGAAGCACTCCAGTTAGGAAGTTCGTGAAGTTCTAGATAGAGAATGTGACAACTGTAACAGGATTAACAAATCAGACACCCTCAGGACTATTGTGGGAAAGAATCCTTTAAGCTCAGATGTCAAACATTAAAAACAAAACCAACCTAAAAAAAGGAGGGGTGTTTGGGGCATGGGTGAGAGCAGAAAACAATTTGGAGAGCTAAATCTCCTCTCATCTTAAAAAAACAAACAAACAAACAAACTGTCAGTTACTCCTAAATATTTTCAAAGCACTTCTCAATGAAAACAACAACAACAACAACAACAACAACAACAACAACAACAAAAACAAAAAACCAAACCTGAAGCAAAAGGGGATTTGAAAACAAGTCAGTGGTGTTTTGGTGTTTTTAGGTTACACTTCTTTCCTTGCTTCAAGCTTGCTAAACTCACTCGTTTTGTTAGCTATTTTATAGATAGAGTGCCTCATCCATTCGCTCGTTCTTTTTTCCATTCATTCAGTAAGGATCACCAAGAACCAGATACTGTGCAAGATGGAAGGAGTAAGTATGAAAATGCAGTCTCTTCTCTCAAGAAGAGGGGTGTGGAGCCCTGGCTGGTATGACTCAGTGGATTGAGCGTGGGCTGTGAACCGAAGGGTCCCAGTTCGATTCCCAGCCAGGGCACACGCCTGTGTTGCGGGCCAGGTCCCCAGTACCAGGCACATGAGAGATAACCACACTTCTTTCCCTCTTTTTCTCCCTCTCTTCCCCTCTCTGTAAAAATGAATAAATAAAATCTTAAAAAAAAAGAAGGGTATGGAAAAGGACATGTGAAACATTAAAGGAGGAGCTGGCAGCTGGAACCGATGTATGTATAAGTGCCAAAGCCTGTAGGAAAGGCCAGGGGAGAGAGGAGGTGTATGGGAAGATCACTGCAATCCGGGATTCCATCATCCAGTGAAAACCAGTGTTTACAGAGTCTCGGGATGATTCCTCAAGTCATGATTATAGGTAGTACCACGTTTTTCTGTTTTCAAAGTAAAATTTGGCTTTTGGATAAAGCTCTGGCAGAAATATGCATTAATAATGGCTGCTACTATAATAAATTGCTTTCAAGCATCTTGCTTAGATTACTGTTTGGGGATAATTAATTTTTTAATAGTTTCATAAGCCATGACTTATAAATCATTGAGTACTGCTTTATAACTATCACAAAACAAACACATAGCATTTGTTTTCCATAAGTCAATGTGTAGTAGTAATTAGGCTAATTTTTTCTTTTCTTATTGATGTTTAGTTACAAGAAGAGTGACACATTTAATAGGGCAGTAGCTCCAGAGGCCCTGTAGTGAGGTCTTAAATCACAGAGGTAATCACTAACAATTAGGATGTTGTTCCAATTGATTAGTTGTAGGAAATGCTTGTAACTGGTTTAAAAGTTTCTTGCATATGACTAACCATTTTAATGCAACATTATATTAGGAGTATAAATAGCTCATCTCCTTCAAACTGCACTTTTGGTGGTCAAATCAATATTTTGAACTTTCCAAGATCCCCTTAAATTCTGTGAAATAGATGGTACAAATAAGAAAATAAATATTTTTCATGAACTTAACAACTTAGGTACATGTTGGCATTGCTTAGAAAACTAAGTGAAATTTAAACTTCTCAAAAATTAAACTGCATGTCACATATAGTTTTCAGAAAGAAAAATAAAAAAGCAAACAATTCTTAACCCCTTTTTGGGAAAGGTTACTGAATGGCCTGTGGATTGGGGATTGATTTGGTATGAGTCAGTGACTATTCACTCCTCTGCACAACTTGAAAATGGGGGGGAATTCAGGCCTACTATTTTAAAAAGAGGTTTTAAGAACAATTTTTAAAAAAATACATAAAAGTACTGTGAGATACTGTTAAATAATGCAACAAAAAATTATTTCCAAAAAGCCATTGGAAAGACTGATTCCAAACCCCTACCCTCCATAACCTCACCTCTAAAATAGGCCTCAGTTCTGCAGCCCATTAAGTTTTTCAGTAAAAATTCAGTGAAAATTCAGAGAACACCTGTGTCTACTCGGGGTGGTGACAGCTGTCGCTGTGCAAATCTGACTCACACCTCCACAACCTTCACGGTTCCTCTACCTCAGCCTTCAATCACCCGACCCCACCCTACCATAGGGACCATGGGGCCCACATTTCTAACTTGGTGGTTCAGTTAGTTCTAAACATAATCTGAACTTTCACATATCTGTGACATAAATGGAACACTGAAAATGCAATAGGGATCTTCCCGTTTTTCTTGTGGAGTCAGGAATCTCCAAGGACCTATTCAATCTGTATCTGTTTCACCTCTATCAGGTCGAGATCTTAAATCTGTGACTCTTTTGCAATGAAAAAATCAACAGAGGAATTTCACACACTTTGCGAGTCTAAAAATTCCCAAGTTTAAACATCCTTAAGGCAGTTTATTTATCCACAATAACAGTCTAATGTAAAAATTTCAGTTGGTTAGAGGCTGGTCCCGACACCCCGAGGCTGTGGGTTCTATTTCCTGCCAGGGCACATACAAGAACCAACCAACGAATACGTGAATAAGTGGAACAACAAATTGATGTTTTTCTCGTTCTTTTTTCCCTTCCCCTCTCTCTCTCTAAAATCAATAAATAAAAATTTAAAAAATTTTCAGTGGGCTATAGAAATGCAGGAGACATTCTTTGTAGACATTCTTTGTAAATAAAGTTGGGTTCCTAATACCTAGTATGCAAGTAACTTCTATAAAAGCAAAAGATAAACTAGGGAGCCTTTAATTGAATAGCTCCACTTAAAAAAATTTCTTTTTAACAGAAGGATTTATTAAAGTAAAAAATCAGTTCACATAAACAACACGACTGGCTGTGACAAACTTCCACATTATGGTCTCAAACCATTAATTAAAAGACATTTGTTAACTTCCCTCCTATTCCTCTCTGACGAGAATGAAAGATATTGGAAGGCAGGGACCCGGCTTTCACTTCCAGGAAACTCTGAAGTCAGACTTGAACTCTGGCCCCGAACAGCTGTGCGCTCTCGGGTTAGCTGCCCAGCATTCGGAGCCAGTTTTCGTTGGCATCAAACAGAGGTTTCATCACCGACCACACTGAGTAACAGTGAAGATAAAGAGGGATCACGCCAAAATCTATCAGGGGCGTAGTACAGGGCCTGCCATGCGTTAGGCACCTTCAAACCTCCGCCCCTGCAACCGCTCCCTCCTGGGACTCGAGAGAAAACCGGAGTCCACAGGCAACAAGCTCCTCGCTTACTCCCCTCCCTCACACCTCCAAACCCAGAGACCCCCTTTTCCTCCCTCCCACAGAGGCAGGGCTGTACCTCCTCAGACGTAGGTGGTCCTCGGCTCGAAGGTAGTCCCCAGCTCAGGTAGCTCGTCCTCTAGTGCCTCAGACTCTTTGCTCCAGGAGGTCCCTGCGGCGAGGGGGTAATTATGCATTCCACTTTTTCTTCAGTCTCCTCAGGCTGGCTCCTTGCGTAAGCATTAAATACATTCTAGTTTCTTCGAGAAAAAAGGAAACTTCTTGGACTCCACCTCCAGGACAGTCCTATCTTTTGCCTTCCCTTCAAGGCCACTTCTTAAAAAGACTTGTTTGTACTGGCTGAGTCCGGGTCCTCACCTCCTACTTACTCTTTCTTTTTTTTTTTTATACTTTTATTTGGCTTCCAGCTCCATCAAACCGAAGACATGTTTGTCAGTAAATCACCAGTGACTTTCTTGTTGCTCCTTTCAATGGCCATTTCTAGGTCCTGGTCGAATCCGCAGCATTCCCAGCTCTGGGGGCAGGAACACCAGTGGTGGCTCCCCTCTGAACAACTACTGCAGAGCCTGACGCCCACCTCTCCTCTCTCGCCTTCCTTGCTGTCCTCTGTGCGTTTCTCTTGCTCTGGCAACTCCCCAAATGTTGGTCTTTTTCAAGGCCCACTAATCGACTCCTTTCTTCTTTTCTTCCACATTCCTTCCCTCGGTAGGTTCACCCACTCTCCCAGCATCCGTCAATACGCTGGTCAAAAATGCCTGTTTGCCTCCAACGCTCCTGATTTGCCCTTGTTTTCCCAGCATAAGTCATAGCTTCCCTCCCCCACCACCAAATCCCGGTTTGGATGCAAATAAATTATATGGTCCCCTTATCAATTACCATTTGTATGCAGATGACTCTGAGTTGAGGCAATAAAGCACAGTGGCTGAGAGGGTGGGCCCTAGGGTCAGCCCCCTGGGTTTATATCCTGCTCCTCTATTGACTAGCCGCCGAGGCTCTGGCCAGGTTAAGTAATCCCTCCGCACTTCAGGTTCCTCGTCAAAAAATTAGGAACTATACTAGGGATTTCTCAAGAAGTGAGGGTTAAATCAGCACGAGGCCTGCCACATTTTCTAGTGCTCGATAAACCTAGCTAGCCCAAACTCGTCTCCTGAGTTCCAGACATACTCAGGTTAAGTACAATAAAGTTCTAAGGCAGCCGGGAGGGGAAGGGCAAAGAGTAATCCAGTCTGCACGGGCCTCTTATCACTTCTAAATTCCCTAGATGCCCATTTGTCCTCCCAGCAAACTGTGGCTGAATTCCTCAGATAATTCTCCTGTGACCTTTGAACGCTTGTCCTACAGGTAACTATTGATTCTTAGTGGGAAGGAAGGCAGCGTTTTCTTGCTGTGCGTTTTTGAAGAGGCTGTTATATAATTTGTGCTTGAAACATTGGCGATAAGTAGATGGAAATACTACTTTTGAACTGCCTCAAATCATTTTTATTTTTCATGACTGTGGCTGTTTCCACAATTCCAAAAACATCAAAATGATACTGAGTGACAGCCTGGATATACAACAGTTCAACCATTTCCTGGCAATAAAAAGTAAGGCATAGTTCTTAAAAATAGACTTTAGGGAGGAAGATGGGGTGATTTTGGGAAGCTGAGTTTAGCGAACAATTCCACCTCTGCTTTTAGGTTTTTATGGTTATTTTTTTCTTTCTATAAATTACTTTCAATCCTTCAGAAAGTGTCTTAATTAGAAATACTTTCTAAAATGTTATTTTTTTATCTGTGTTTTCAAATTCTGTGTCTCCACTTTCATTTGAAATGCTAGCATAGCTCCAACAGTTTGCAGTTATAAACTTTGTTTTTTAACCTAGGCTACGACCCTTCCTTCTGTGTAGCTCCCCAAAGCCACGGGGTGAACGACAGAGCTTGTGTGCAAGCAGACAGCTTCTCACCTTTTCATGTTTGCTCTGCAACTCATCATTAAAGGTTCCCTAGCTCCTTCCCCTACTGAAATTCTGCTCGTTCCTTAAGACCTAGTTTTGAGGGGGGACTCGAAAGTTGGAAAATTTTTGTTTAATAATAACAATAAGCTTTAGTAACCCATGCATGTAAAAGTTATTGTTCCAGGAAGCAAAGGTATGACCCACCCTGGCTCCAGGTGACCATAAGCAGTTCCACCCTTGGGCCTTGGGAGGACTGCAAGCAACTCCAGATGGTATCTGAGCCCTTGTGCCCCAGGGTGAGATGACCACCGCCTGGGGCGAGAATGGATTTTTTTTAAATCCAATGAACTTTTCCCTGAATTCCAAACCCCTTACCTACACTTTGTTCTCCTTATCAAAAGGGCCATTTTTAAATGGAATTTAAGACAGTCTGTTCCGGTACAAACCCTCTGTCTTCTCAGATCTGCAGCCATCGATCGGAATAAAGCGCCCTTAGAGTTTCAATCCCTGTCTCTGCTTATTGGGCCTGGTAGGTGACGGGCAGCATGGACACTAGCTTTTCTGGTTACAGTTTAAAATGCAGTTCTGTCTGTGAGCCTTCCCTGTCTTCCCAGACAGAAAAATCTCTCGGTGCTCCGACGGATGCCTGTTAAGCTTGTGGTTCCATTCTGTCCGACGATGAAATGCCCATTTGCTCTCCACTCTAGTCTGTCCTGCTCTTGGATGGCCCGAGTGGGTTTCACTCCTCCTTGTCCCCCTCTTTCCGCATCATAGTCAGCTTTCATTGAGCATTTACTCTGTGCCAGGTCTATTTTATTCTCACAAACCAATGAGGTAGCAACTATTATTATCTTCCTGATATGGATAAATGAACTGAGGCTTGGAGAGGTTATGTAAATAGCCCAAAGTTGCTGGGCTAGTAAAATGCCCAACTGGCCTTTTACTGGCTGTGAATCTTCTTGATTGATTAGGTAAGCTTAAGATTTTGTTTTATTTTGTTTTGTTTTTAGGAGGAAATTCAGCTCCAGAGCCTGAGCTTTTAACCTCGGCTATAAATGTGTTGGAACCTTGAGGAAAAAAAATAGTCTTATCTAGAAAAAGATATTTGTATGTATTTTTCCTTTTTATTATCTGTTGAAAAACGAAACAAAGCAAAGCAATGTTTTGTGTACAGCTTTAAATTCTTCCATGAGAAAACAGAGCAGGTATAAAGTCAACTTGGAGTAGTTTTTATCACTCTGATAGCTAATTTCTACTAATGTGTCAATGGAAAACTCAGTTACTGCACTAAAGCTATATTTTTATACTTATGCTGGCTACTCTAGATTCTAATCAGTGGTTAAATAAAAGGTCCCCATGGCTGAGAAGGAGGGTGATGGGGAGTTAATAATGACTAAGTTGCTTCCAGCTGATGCAGATTGGATTCTGAAATTCTGTCTCCATGGATGGGCACAAAAGCCCATTTAACCAGTGAACATTAGGCTGAGTCAGCAGGCTGGAGTTTCTGCTACCTCCAGAGCTTGCTTTACCACTGTTTTCGTCCTTTAAATGGGAGATGATCTGTATGCTCCTCTAAAGCGATTACATAAAAGAGCTTGTACAAACAAAAAGAACGGAGACAGAATCGTGGATACTGAGAGTGTTTTGATGATTTCCAGATGGGAGGGGGTGTGGGGAAGTGGGTGAAGAGGTGAGGGGATTAAGTACAGATAGGTAGTCACAGAATAACCGTGGGGATGCATAGGAAATGGAGTAGCCAACGAACCTATACATAGGACCCATGGCCATGAACCACGGTGTGGGACAGGACCCATAGACATGAACGATGGCCCAAAGGGGTAGGTGCTGGGTGGAGGGGAAGAGGGGGAAATCAGGACAACTGTAATTGCATATTCAATAAAATATAATAAAAAAAAGCTTGTAAAATGCATATTATTTTTATTGCGGATGTTACTATTAATGATGCAGTTTCTAAGAGCCAGTCTCTGTCTGCCTTGCTCCCTACCCATACTATTTCTTAGAAGGATCTGGAAGACCTGGGCTCCCAATGCTGTGTGTGTTGGCAGCAAGACTGAGGACAACCCCTAGTTTTCAAGCCCTAGAACTGGGCACAGGGCGCGGGGCAAGGTCCAGAAAGTGAGGCAGCCGACAGGAGTCCATGCTGGGGAGATAACATGCAAAGACACCAGGCTTTTCCCAAGTCCTGTCCCCTCCCTTCTGCTCTCGGTGTGGACCCCTGAGCTCCTCTCCTGCCACGTGCTGCACAGCTTCTCCCCAGTCCCTCAGGAACACAACTAAGTCAGCCCCTCAGCACTGCCTGCCTTAGGGTGAACTGTGGAAATCAAAGGAAATGCTCCACAAACTTTACAAATATCAATTATTGCTTTTCTGAGCCACCTCAGCATTTTGGGGGGATGGGATTTAGTAATTAAGGGAGCTTTCCAGTAATGAAGTATTTAACTTATTATTATTTAGTAACACTAATTTAACTTGTTATTTAGTAACATTAGTTGGTATTCACTGCTTGTGTTACACAGTTTACCTGCTTACCTATTTATTCCTCGTAAGAACCCTGTGAAATTGGTACTTTTTTCTCTCCATTTTACACAGTCAAAAATGAAGTTTGGCAGATTGAGTCATCTGCCCGAGGTCACCCATTTTATAAAAAGCAGAGCTGGGAGTTAAAATGATGCCAAACCTTTGTGGTCAACCACAACATACAAGATTACACATGTAACAGATGCTTTGCATCCCTTCTTGTTCACAACCTACCATTTCCTCTCACTGTACGTGTTTAGAGGTTCAGTAGTTTATCAGTCCTTCTCATTAGGAAATAACAGTTGTCTCTTTAGGGCTGTTCAGGTAAGTGGGGGCGGCGTGAAGTGGACTAGGATGGAGATGCCTTCCTACAGAGCGTACCCAAGAAATGAGAATGCCAAGAAAGGCTGGTCAGAAGTACAAAATTAACGCTTAAAATAAAATGGGAAAACTGAAAAGTACTTACTCATTAAAGTAACTGGCGATTTAAAAATGTACCTCTCCGTTGATTCTACATCTCTTTCCTAGAGACTCCCTTCTCAGCTGTGGGTCAGAGCACCAGGTCGAGGAGAGAGCCCAGAGCGTGGGCTACAAGGCAAATACACTCACGTCTGGATGCTGCTAGCACATTCACATGTGTGAGCAGCGTCAGGGGAGACGATGCCATTTCCGGTGGCGTCTGGGGCAAACAGCACGAGTCAGCATTTATTTTCTTGCATTAGGAAGTGGAAGGCTAGTGACCAAAGCGTTAAGACTTGGGCAAATATGAAAACACCAAGTGCAAAATATAGCATATTCCTGGAAGTTGGCTCTGAGCTTGTTTCATTTTGCATTTCTCAGTGATCTGGGTGTAGCTGCTATGGTTCTTCCTTTGTGTTCTTTTCCCAGTTCAGACCCTCTGCTCTCAGGACCCTGGCTCGTGTGGCGTGTTCACCGGCGAAAAACCCTTAGAGCGGGGGAGGAGGGGAAGGTGGTGAGGGGAGAGAAGGGGAAGTGAGAAAAGAGAAATGCGGGAAAGATAAAAGAGTACTCTCTTTTCTAGTTTTTAGAAGTAATAATCCTGGACTTCTGTGTGGTGCTTCTCCCAGCGCCCTGCGGGTGGAACGAGAGCTCACTCTGCAGCTGCAGGGAAGTACGGGCCTGAGTTGCTGGTCTCAGGTAAAGGCAGGAAGCTGCAGGCCAGGACAGCCTTCTGATTCCTCCTCCTGTTCCATTGGAAACCAAGGGGTAACTGGAAGGGGGCAGGGGGACAGGAAGTGGTATTCTGATTGATTAGATATAGATAAGCCTGGAACTTTGTTTTCTTTTCTTTTCTTTGGAAGGATATGATTTGGAGGAGGAGGACTGTCACCTCCCCTACAAATTCCAAGATGAAAGAGGAGGAAATGAATCAGAAGAAAAGAAAAAAAATGAGGGAATAAAGCTTTAAAAACGTTTTTCCCAAACAGTTAACCTTCCATAGGTGTTTTAAACATCGTAGGATACAACATTTCTCCATTACATTAAATGGTATAAAAATAACACGTAAAAGTAACAGATTCCAAAACAATCCTGAAATGCATATGCATGCATGCCCTATGTGCTTAGTTTTTTTTTTTTAATACTATGCTATTTAGGGAAACTGGCCTATCAAGAAAAACATGGTTGTCTTTTCCCAGAAAATGTCATTTTACTTTACTTCATTGACTATGCAATGTGTGGCTTAAAAATTAATTCCACACATTACACATTGTTTCTATCCTCTCATCTACAGCCATTAAATCCAGTTATTTTCCATTTTTCAATTATTGCATCTCAGGGCAGGGTTTCATCTAGAACCCAATTGATAACTTTAGTATTTTAAAATTTAGATCAGTCTATTACATAACTTTGAAAAATTGCCATTATTTGATTGTAGCATATCTGTGAGTTGCAAATGTTTCCATCTCGTTAGATTTCAGCTAGTCTGTATACTGTGAGAATAAAAGAGCAATCTAGGGGAAGATGACTAAAATTTGCATAACCATCACAAGACCAGAGAACAGCCTAGCTGTAATAATGCAAATGATAATCTTGATTATACTTGTTAAATTTAAAGTTGTTTAAGACCAAGAAACACATTTTCTTGGTTCCAAGGACTTATTATGCCACACAGAGACAGCTCCTATTGCTATTCTGGCCCCATTTCATGTTCCACAGCTTGGTGTGCTGGCTTTCTTTCTTATCCACCAAACTTCGCTTTTTCCTAAAGGGTAATGAAGACTTATGTATGTGTAATGTCCTCCACGTAGAATGTGCCGTCTCACAACAGATCCCCCTTTGTAAACTAAGGCGAGCTCTCATTATCATCTTAACTTTGCAGACGGTGAGCCTGAGGCTCTGAGAAAGCTTCAGTGCCAGTCACCCTGATGGAGCTGTGCAGGGACCTGGAGCCCTTCCAGCTGCGGGTGGAGCGTGTCATCTTCGCTGGCCTCTCAGTGGGAGGCCAGACAGGGCACCAGGCCATTATCATCATTCTTAAATTATTTTGCTTATTTTTAGAAGGCATTTAATGCACATGGCACAAAACTTCAAAAGGTACAAGGGGTATGAGTGAGAAGTAAGTCTCCCTCTGCTTCTTGTTCCGTAACCCCGCATTTCCCTCTAGAAGAAATACTGTCATCGGCTGCTTCTTGTCTATCCTACCAGAAATATTCTATATGGATATTATAAATCTCTCTGAAATATTTTATTTCTTCCTTCATAACAGTGATATTTTACCTGAGGAATGAAAAGTGGTCTGATTCTAGATATAATCTGAAGGTAGAGGTGATAGGATTTGCCTAGGGAGAGGAGGTAGGGCGTGAGGAAAAGAGAGACCAGGCTGGCTCCAAGGTTTTCAGCCTGAGCAACAGGACGGATGGAGTTGCATCTACTTAGATGGAGACAATTTTGGATAAACAGGTTTGGGAAGTGGAGGCCCAGTGTCAGGTTTTGGGCCCATTGCATGTGAGATGCCTTGGACACACTGGAATCGGAATGTTGAGAGGGGATTCAGATAGATAAGCCTGGAGGTGAGGGGCAAGGCCGGGGATATTAATTTGGTTTGGATGCTATGGCCAATGGAGAAGGTGAAGCTAGAGCAGGAAGGAGGTCCAGGAACTGAGCCCTGGGGCACTCCAGGGGTAGGTGGTCAGGAAGATGGGAGGGACCTGTGCAGGAGACTGAGAAGGAAGGATCAGTGAAGCAGGAAGAAACTACAAGAGCATGAAGCTCTGGAAGCCGAGAGCAGAAAGTGTTTCAAGGGAGGACGCACAGGAGGGCTTGTCTGTTTCCGAGGTAGTTCATAAGCCAAGAAGGATGTTTGACCATTGGCTGTAATACATCCTGTGGGACTTTGGTGACCTTGACACAGTGGTGGGGACAAAGGCTGATTAGAGTGGTTAAGAGAGAATTGGAGACAGTACCACCCTCCACGAGTTTCACTATAAAGAGAAGCAGAGAATGAGAAGTTAGGTGGAAGGGGAAGTGGGGTTAGGAGAGTTTTATTTTCTTTTATGATGAGAACAATAATAGCATGTTTCTTTGTTTATGGGAATGATTCAGTAAATAGGGAAAACAGATGATGTAGGAGGAATGGGGGGAAATTGCTGAAGTAATGTGCTTGAGTTGGTGAAAGGGTTTGGATCTCGTGCCCAAGTAGAGGGGTTCACCTTGAATAGGTGCTAGGGTGGATCAAGCAGAAAGAGGATGGGGGAGACCCAGTACAGGAGCATAATGCTGGTGAGTGGGTAGGTGTGGAGGTGCCAGCCTGTGGGGGTTTCCTGATTGTGTTTTGTCAGTGAAATAGGCAAACTGGTCAAGGTCACCAGCAGAGAATGAATCTGGGGAAGGAGGTGTTAGAGGTCTGAGGAACACGAAAATAGGAAATACGTGACTAGGAGATGGGAGAGGCTGTAATCACTGAGCAGCAACGAGGCCCACTTAAGCTGGACCCACTCCACCTTATTGGAGCTGAGGGTGCTCAGCATGGATGTTGGGTTTTCTCTAGTCTGTTTCAGCCACATGGGTGCAAGTCTAGAGTAGGAAAAAATTACACTTGGTCAGGACTGGAGTTTTGCCTTTTTGGTTTCTATTCATGTATGTTAATATGCCATTACAAATTTATAATTTATTTTAAGCCATAATTTATTTAAAACCAAACCCATAAAAGCCAGATATTTTAATTAGACAGTGAAAAATACTCTAGACATAAGGGCAAAAATAATGTTCCTTTAATATTAATAACCCTTTCATAGTTCCAGCCACAGATCAATTTAAACTTATCTTCAAAAGCCATTATCATTTTATCCACATTTTCTATTTCAAGGAACACTTATTTTTCTTATCTTCGTGGAATAGAGTGCATCAAGTGGGCCAGAATCAGGCCACAAAATATTTACTTATAAATAAACTTAGTTCGGCCAGCTGGTGTGTGTCTGTGTTCTATGCCTGACTACCTTAAGAAAAAGAACCAAATTTGGCAACTGACAAAACAATATGTGTTTTATTTGCTTGTCTGACTTGAAACAGTTTACATAGTTTTGATAGTTTCTCTTCGGAGCATGTGCAGTTAGCACTTTGAGCACACGTGAGCGCCTTGCTTCTACGGGAGCACAAGCACGTCTCTGACAGTACAGTACGAACTTGGAGACTTGGGATTAGACCTTCTCCTGAGTTCAGTTTAGTGACTGGGCTAAATTCGCTAAGTCAGTACATGCAAACTCTTGCACTGTTGAGCAGCAAGGCATTGGGATTTGGGAGGCTATGGGTGGAGAGGAGCCATATTTTTTGGTATTGCCAGGACGGATAGAGTTTGAGAAGTGAATTTATAAAAGATTCCATTCTGTTAGATTTCTTAAACTTTTCTACAAACTTTCTTAGAATGCTTATGTTTTATGCATGTTCTGTATTCTGTTCCAGTTTAGCTTAGGGTTCAGAGCATGGCCTGCTTGCAGGCAGAAAGAGTTCCGAGTCCCAAGTCTGTAAACCATGAGCTGTGTGATTGGCCAAGTTACTTAATACTCTGGCCCAACTCCAGTGGTGGACATTGAATATGCAAAGTGCTAAGCAGAGTGCAAGGCATTTCATAAATGCTCAGTTTATTGTAAGAAGTAGTATACATACATCCATGCTTTAGTAAAATAAAATATAATCACAAAATTATATTACTAACTTAGTAACATAAAAATGTACTTTAAATGGCTACCACTGAATAAAATGTAACACTGAAAAGTGCCCTGTGGGATGGGCACAACTCGGTGGAGTGGTGTCCTGTTCTGCAGAAACTGGCTGTAAAAGTGGAAGGGGTGACAGAGACCACCCTCAGGCCAAGGGGAGGTCAGTGGCCACCTAAATCACACAGCCAGGCTAACAGCTCAACCTGGATTAAGAGCTGGAGTCCTGAGTCTTGGTCCCACTGTCCCAGCGCCACAGTTCATGAATTGCAGTTAAAAAAAAAAAGTTATAAGCCCTTTTACAAAGAATAATTTAATACACTAGGAGAATTTGGCCTTGAATTACTTAGCAATGTCCCTCATCTCTAAATAATATTAAATTTTATTAGAAGACTCCAAACCACTGGCTTAGTTTTCTGATTCCAGTTCTGCTTCTCTCCCCTCTTTTCTCTTTCTCATTGTTATTACTATCTTAACCATTTTAAGTACATGTTCAGTAGTGTTA